AAAAACAAATGAATGTAAAAGAAAATCCCGCTTTAAACACCTATATACTATACACTTACATAAGAAAATAGAAAATTAAACGGCGAAAAAATAGGAGAAATAAAATTTGATCCAGTTGTTATAAGGCAGATAAAATTACACTCCACGAATAAAACAACAATGAATCGTCGGATACAGGTGAAATAAAAATTTCAAGCCAATGTATATGAGTATAGACACATATTTACTAGTATGAGTATATTTACTAAATATACAAGTAATTGCACATATCTCTTATATCTACACAATTAAAGAGTGATTCATAAAAAAAGAACACCGTAAACAATTTTATATTTAAGTAAAACATGACATTCAATTTTCTATTAAATTTAAATATACAAATGCAGAAAATATTGCTTACTACACACTTATACACATCGGTACCCAAATTGAAAGTACGCTCATATTCAAATTTTAAAAGACTTAAAATATGTTTTTTAACTATTATTACAATTAGCTTTTAAGAAAATTAATTTAAATTTCCACTCTTATGAACATCATTTACATTAATACCGAAGTAAATATAGAATAGCACTTTAAGAGTTATTTTTATGAAAAATCATCATTTGCTATAGCGAACGTCTTATTAAAAATCTTTTTTTAAAATAATTTTTTGGCAAGTTGTATTGAAAATTAATTAAAATTTCTAAAAACTTTAAAATACAAATTAATTTTTGACAATTTTGGATCTATTTTCGTTGAATTAAAAATTTGTTCAAATTCCAAAATAAAAAACGTAAAACGAATTCAAATTCGAAAAAAGGAATTTCGAATTTCAACTCGTTAATTCGATAACTATTTGTTTTTTTTATATAATTCAATTTTCGAATAATCAAGGACAAATTCATAAGCCAGATTGGAAATCTATTTCACTTAAGTAATCATTAAACTCGATTTTTACAAATATTTCAAGTAGGTACTTTTAGAATTGTTGGACTTTGAGATTTTTCTAACCTAAACACCTCGTAACTTGAATTACTTTTGAAAGTTGTAATTCTTCAGTTTGGAAACAAAAGATGTTTTATTATACACTTTAAAATTATTAATGTGCAAATCGCTGGGAACAAATTAAGGGAACAAATTAAGAATAATAAGATTACCAAGATAAGTTTGCAGTGATCGAAATATTTTTGTGAGCCCAATTTGGTTTAATTTGATTGAATGAGCCGTTATTTGTAAATTTATGAATATTTTGTTATTTCGTGTAGCTCTTTTACCATACTAAGCGTTATCAAAAATGCGAACTTAATATCAGCTTCACTTGTAAAGCAATTTTAATTGCTGAATAACTCAAATCGGCATTAGATCTGCATTGAAGCATTTCGCTAAACTTTTCAACTTATTCCTTAAAATACAGTTTTGCAATACACTTACTTATGTGTGTTAAAATTCATGAATTTTCAGGTTATTAGAATGGCAATGTTCTATATGGTATTGACACTCTAATAGAGGCATGGAGGATAATGTTTGTATTTTAACAAGGGCAAATCTTCTACCCACGAACTTTCTCACAAAATTTTATTTATTTTAATTGAATATAAGACATTTTTTTCCGTTGCTCATTTAAGTATTGTACTAAAATAAAATATGAAATGAATTTTTACATTGCAATGCAATTCAACAATTGTACAGGTTTCTAAATTATATCTAAACTTTAAAATTTTAAAACAAGATTTAACATAAGATTTTTAAATTTCATTTTTAATCAACATTTTCGATATAAATCGTTTTTTGATCAGATAAGCATCGTTTCTTTTCTAGGCAATTTTTAAATGCATTTTGCATTCATTTAGAAACTATGTTGCCATATAACGTGAATGATATTTTAGTTTAATGGTATAACAGATATCATAACAGTGTTTATAATGACAATATATTTATATCTGAGCATGTTTTGTTTGTGTACAAGAGAAAAGTGTCTAAAACATTTTACATTTGTTTTTATAAATAATTGTCTTCAATTAAATGTCAAATTTATAATATAACAATGTTGCAGTGTGATTGCTGTGCGATCAATACCACACTGGAAATTCGGTATGTGTTTATGACCACTAACTATATAAACCATTACAAGGATAATAAATTAAGTTTTTTCTCTTTCTTTCTTGTAGTTTTTTTTCAGTTAGTTAGTCTTCTTTTCTCTTTGCTTTATTTTTTGGTGTTGTATCAACAAGAAAGAAAAAAAATCTCGCAGTTTTAAATTAGTATTGCAGGTTTTTCTTGTTTTATTTTGTGTTTTAATTTAGTCTTTTTGTTGAAAAACATTATTTTCGTATGCAGCAAATCTCTAATTACCTGTTTACCTGATTGAATATTGAATAAGGCGACTGCTAGTGAACTAGTGGAAATAACAGTAAGGTAATTTTTTAGGCGGGGCGGACTTTGAGTTTTTTGCTGATTTGATTTTTATTTAATTTTTTGTTAAACCACGAATATAACGTTGCAATAATTTTTATATGGAAATATTTTCTTAAATTCTTTTATTATTATTAACTCTTTTATTTAGAAAGTGAAAAAAAATAGATATTTTAAATATTTCCTTTAATCTTTTAATTTTTTAATGAATTTCAAAATAAATTGAAAAATAAAAACACGTCGTTTTTTTTGTTCAATAAATAATTAGATTTAATAATAGCAATTAATTTTTAATTACTTACGTTTTTGAATAACGTTATTTGGCAATTATCATACGTAAATAATGATTTAACTTTTGGTAGTAAGTTGCCGATTTCTATTTTTGTATTAATTATTGAAAATATCACCTGTTATTTAAAAAATTTAAGAAACCGTAATAATCAGTCTACTGGCTTCATTCCAAGTTTTTAGTCTGACGTTTATATTTACGAACCGTATACGAAATTTCTTTAATAGATTTGCTACGCATATCTGAACTGACACAACAGCGCTTAGATAAAATACAGGGAATACGTCTTATAAGATTTCACACATTATAAGTACTTAGTTAAGTAATTAAAACTGTTGAGAAGAATGATAAAAATATTAAAAATTTACGAGAACTTATCATATTGCCGTATCGTAATTTGATTTTTGAATTAGATTGAAAGTCAACGATAAACACCAAGATGGGACTTCAAATAAACTAGATTTATTGGTTAAAAGTCAAATTTAGGTTACAACTGCTTATAAGTGTTTGCCTAAAGTCAACTCAAAAACTTTATCGAAGCACAAAATACTGAGGCTTTAATTTTCAAACAACCTCTCAAACATACGTTCGTACATATAAATATACGTACAGATTTTAAAAAGTGTTGGTTTAATTTTTTTGGTTTCTGTTATTTTTCGCAAAAATTTTTAACCTTTAGCAACTTACATATTATACGTGAGAAAAAATTCTTTTTACTTTTTTTTCTCTCCTTACTTCGTAATTTTTTGCATAACATTCAAAATTTATAACGAATTTGGCCTAATTTGACCGCATTCCACGCATATTTCGTTTCTTCTTCTTTGCCATTTTCGATTATTCCTAAGTTGTTTTTATGATGATCACCATTAATTAAATTATGCAAAGGCAACTAAATTGTAGCAATTTAATTAAAGAGCGACAAAAGAATTAAGACTAGCGACAATAATCTTGTTGTTAACTAAGAAAATTTATTTGGTTGCATGCAACTTTTATAAAATTTTATACACCATTCTTACTACTTGCAGAAAACTTCTATATTATGTATTACTTTATAATATTATGCTGATAACAAAAATCGCATGCGATTTGTAGTTTGCAATCAAAATCGCTTCATGGTCAATGCATAATTGTTTATTAATAATTACATACGTACAAGTGCATATATGTATGAATGAGTATGAATAATCGGATATGTGTTCATGGATATTCTCTTTGCGATTTCTTTGAAAAAGAGAGTTGGAAAGGAACAAAATGTGCTTAAAAGAACAAAATTATGAACTGAAATCTACAATGCAACGCGACACGACTTAATTAAGTACTACTTCAGTACAAACACAGTTTTTAAAAGAAAAGGAAATAAAGGAACAATAAGAAAAAAAAATTTTACTTAAAAATATTGGAGAAGAAAAAAAAAATTACCAAAAATTTAAAAGCAGTTAATAATACCTAATAATTATAAATGTGTTAAAAATATTTTTAATTTATTGTGTACGATTTATTTATTGTATAAAATTCTATTTACAAAACACAAAAAAACTTATGTGAAGTGCTGCCAATATGAAAAATACATTTAGTCGAAATGTAGAAATTGAAAAAACTTTTTGTTAAAGCAACCAACTAAAAACTCGCATATAAATTACAAATTGAGAATCATTTAACGACGATTCATGACAACTACAACGTATATTAGAGCTCTTATAACATATTATAAAGATGATCAACTTCAATTATCCGTTTACAGTCCTATTTGCTACGTATTCAGATTGTAATCTAATTAGTGTAATACAACAAATTTAAAATCGGATTTATCTTTCAGCGATTATCTCTAGATTCGATTGATATTAGCCCTAGCAAACTGAATGGTATTATAATGTCAAATATAACATTTTAATATTCAAAATGTTTTGGTTATTAATTTAAAATTTATAATACTATGTTACTCATATACATTGTCCTTAATCAACAAAATCACGTATTTTTAGTCAAATTGTATAAAAAGTAAAATCGATATTTGTTATATTATGACATTAATAGAATAAATATCGATTTTATTTTGACAAAATATTATGACATCAATACAGAATCAATAATTAATATTTTAGAAATATATATGTAGAAGTAGCTAAGAAGTGGTATAGGTACACAATTTGGTAAACTCAAGAAACATTAATGTTGTTTTTGAATAGAGGAAATGGTGATCAATTCAATTAATATACGTTGCCCAAATATAACAAAATCTGTGTTTAAAATTTTTTTAATTGAAATATACATATTAATAAATATTAAGAAATTAATTTGCAAAAACAAAATCACTCACCTCTTTGTATTCAGTTTGAAACGATTTCTTAATGTATCTTATAACGCGTATGGCAATTCAATTGAAATATTCGTTAATTTCAGTGCTTTTGAATATGATAAAATTTTTAATTAAAAAATAATTAAAAAATTAAATTGTAAAACAAAAAAAAAACTTTTTTTTTCTTTTATTAATTCACCCTGTAATTATCCAAATAATGATTAATTAATGGCAATAACACAATTTCTTTTTCACAAAATACAAAAAAAAGCCAAAAAGACGAAGAAGTTTTCTTTAAGAAATTTTGTAAAATTTTCTTTTTTTTCTTTTTAATTTTTATTTTTTTTATTCACTTGTTTCTTCTCTTGTTTTGTATTTCACATACGTTAATACAAACCTACATATGTTTGCATGTGTTTGTGTGCGTGTGTTTATAACACCTCTTTTCAAATGTAAAATATATAGAAATACCGTTACTAGTGTTCGCAGTTTTTTTTTGTTTCGATTCTCTCTTTTTATAATTTCTCTCTTTTTTTGTGATTTTTAAATGGGATCACACACCGTTTTGCCTATGATTTTTTTTTTTTTTTTTTGAATTAGGGGGTAAAACGGAACCAATATAACGGTATTATTTTCCCATAAAATATAAATTTTCTTTATTTTTTAAAAAATATTGAATACTATTTTTAAAATTAATTTTTTTGTCAATATTTTAAATAAAATTAAAAATTTTTTACGTTTTTTGTCTTGAATTTTTAGTGTTTTTTTTTATTTAAATCCGAAATCTTATCATGTTTTCGTTTACTCCAACAAAAGTTAATAAAAAAAAAATCAAATTTCTTTTTGCGAAAAAATACTAAAAACGCGTGTTTATTACACAATAGTCAAACGCCAAATACTCAACTAAATCAAAAATGTAAGACAATTTACCATGAAGGTATTAAAAAATCACAAAACTCGAAAAAAAAAACTCAGAAGAAAAAGTATGGAGAAAAGCAAAGAAATGCTTTTTTCGTTTTTTTTTATTTCATTTGTATTTTGTATATTGAATTTGAAAAACTCTCTAAGAAAGTTTAGCACCGTTCTCATTGATAAAAGAGGAATGGTAAATAGCAATCAAATCGAATGTATTGAATGAAGAAGATGTGGGGAAGACGGTGAATAAAATCATGGTAAATTGTTATACATAGAGAAGATCATTTGGCAAAAATTAAACAAAATAATGGTGACTAAAGAAAAAAGCAAAGTAAAACTCCCATATGAACACTAAATGAGAAAGACAGAACTAGTAAGTATGTGAAAAACAAAAACAAAATCCATGCGATCATATAAAAACTTCTTTAACTCTAAGAAATTTAATGGCTTGTGCAAAATTTGGGAGATTTAAAGTCTCTTTTCTTGTTTTCTATATAAGTGTTCAATTTCTTTTAAAACATTATGCACATGTTGATGCTAGTTAGGTTAATATTTCATACGGCTCAATTTACAATAATAATGGGTTTTAATTTACATTATACACACACTACTTTCAATATTTTTACTTTTGCAGCTGCGACTAAATAAATTTCAATTGGATCACATGTATTTGTATATTAAAAATTCGTTTATAATACACTTTTCAACTTTAAATAAATTCTTAAAAAAAGATTGAGAAGAATATTTTTGTTGAATATTGTTGAAAGGTTTTGGGCGCATGTATATAAGGTTTCAAACATTTAATACCGCAAAAATACAAAGTATTCATGTACGCAGTTATGTATTAGTTCATGTACTTCTTGAAATTTTGTTTTTAACAGATTGATTAATAATTTTAAACTCAGTTTTAATTGAATTCGATTTAATGTTATAATCTGTTTACACTACGACTTTTACATCAGTGGTTGACAAAAATCTTTCATTCCACTTGTCAAAAAGCTTTATGAGCAAGAGGAATAAAGCGCACGTCAACCATTGATGTTAATTTAAAATTGAATATATCATTTAAAATTCTGATTATTCAAGCATAATGTAAAATTAAAAAATTATACTGTTATTTAAATTAATTCAAATATTTTAAGATTAATAATAATTAAATTTGCAATTTATTCTTATAGTTAATAGTCTAAAGTACCAAGATCTCAATTATATTTTTTTTTTATATAATAAGAAATATTTCGTGGCTCAGGTGTATTTTCTCGCATTTTCCATCATATTTTTTTCTGTATTTAAAATTTTATTTTGTTTTTAATAATTTTCATATATTCGTACCTGCTGACCGTCATACTTTATAATTCATATACATACTTTATATTCATACATACTACTTATCTTCAACTTGCACTTCAACTCACAATATTCATTTATTTTACCTTGATAATGAAATTTTTTTAATTCATTTTTTAATTTATTTTCGTTTCTGAATTCTGAATGTAGTGGTAAAGAAAAGCAATAGAAAGAAAATTAAAGAAACAAAAAATAAAATATTTCTCTTCCTCTCTCAACTTATTTATAACAAAATTTTTAATATTTTCTCTCTTCTTTTTTATGAATTTTAGTGTTGCCAGGTTTCTTAGTTATTGACAGTTTGTTTCAAAAATAAAACAAAATCAAATCGCTTTGAATATGAGGATACAAAGTGTTAAAATGCTAATTCGAAAAAGACAAAGTAGTGTAAAAAGCTAATAAAGACAAGTAGTGTATTCGTAATTTCAGATTTAATATTTTTAATTTATTTTCAAATTACAATTAAAGTATGTGATTTAAAATTGTTATTTTAAAATGCCTTGTTGTATTTGAACTGGGACTTTTTCGAACTCGCATATAATTATTGCACATACATACATACGCACATGTATACATATATGTACATATTTAAGGGAGTTAGAAAACTTTCAAATTGAATTAGTATATAGTGGACTCCCACCTTTCTGTGAGCTGCCGAGTTGTCACATGAAAGCAAGGGCGGAACAAATCATGAAGCGACATCAGGAGTAATGGAATCGGGCGTCGGGAATGAGGCAGAAAAAATTCTTTATTCCTGATCCATCTGCCATAAAGGCCAGTTAGTTGTTGGTCAATAGGACAGGGGCCAAGTTTCTGGTTGCACTCCTCACTGGGCATTGTAAACTGGGTTATCACTTGCCCAAATTGAGACTGTCTTGGACCATTTGTGTAGATTTTGCCACGGTGAAAGTGAGACGGCTGAGTATTTTCTCTATTTTTATGAGGCATTGACCAGAAGGCGATTGGTTCACTTGAGATACTATTGGTTCGGATGTTGTGGAGTGTGCCGCTTGAGCGAAATTGTTAGAAAGTGAGGATAATAGACCTCCCTGACGCTTTATAAACAGTGGGATGTCACAATAAACCTTTGTGGTTGCAGTGAGCGCTCTGAGGGTTACTCCAGCCAATTTAAAAATCTTAATCTTATTCTAATCTTGTATGTACATACGTACATTTGTGAAATATGTAAGTATATTTAAATCAAAACAAATATAATAAAAAAAATTAAAGTTATTAACAATTATTCAATTTATTTCTTTATTTCAAATATGTGTACATAATGATTTTTATTTTTTTCTGTCAACGAAGTAATTACTACGTGTACGTATATAAAACGAAAGTGTGGAAATTCATTTAAAACGCTTTATAATTAAAGAAGCAGCGATCTAATTTCTAAAATCATAAATTAAAAAACAAGAAGATAAAATCAATTATATTGTCAACATCCAGGTGAAATAAAACAAAAAAAAATTTACTCTTTTTATTTATTTGTTCAATCATTGAAATTTATTAAATGTATGGTATGTACAATTAAATTATATGTAATTAATTTTTATTGATTGCAATTCAGTTTATAAATCTTAAAACTACTAAAGCGTGCTGGGAAAACAAATATTTTATAATGTAGGTAGGTACTTAATTTCTTAAGAAAATTATAGTTATTCGTTTACCCATGTGACGTAATTGCCATTTAAAATTCGATAATCACCACAATCAATTAAAGTATTGAGTTTCATTGTACCACCGTCCTTCAAATCACCACAACTAAGTTAAGGTAAAAAAAATTTAATTCACACCATAAGGTAAAAAGAGCTAAGATATACAGTTTTTTTAAACTTAGAAATTCTAAGGGTATGAAAATAATTTCATTTTAAAGGACGATCAAGTATTTACTAAAAGTCTTATTTTAAAATTCACATATACATACACATACAATTCTTCTATTTAAATAGTGAATTAAAATGTTTTAAAAATAAAACTTGTACATTTTGTTTATAAAATTTTATTTATAAGCTTAAAATTTTTTTTAACTATTAATTAAAATTCAAAAGAAAAATAAAATAGGTATAAATACTCATTAACCGTAATTACTCATTAAATTTTATGACACCTCCACACGAGCGTTGCGAAAATAAGAATTATATCTCGCACTAAGAAAGCTTAGATAAAAACTAAATCTATAGTTAACATGAAAAATTCAACATAAGATTTTATATTTTGACTGGATAATTTTAAAACTACTTTTAAAGATCATGTTAGGTTTATAATGTAAGGTTATTAAAAGCGTCGTATTTTTTTGTTTCTTCTTTACTCCTCGCGGTAGCTTATAGGGGGCCATTACAAGGCTTCGTCTTAGCACTCTGTTACCGGCCATACTTTTTTACTTCTGCCCATGTATCTTAGAGGCGTCCGCTGACATATGGACTGATTATCCACTGATATTTTTTCTTTTTTGGTTAGGGCTTATAAGTTTATTTTGCTTACACCTTGACGCTAATATTTCCTTTTATTGAAGCTAAAGTCAAACTTTACCTGTATTAAAATTTTTTTTGATTAATTATGAATTAATATCTTAAGATTTTATAAAATTGGATAATAATTTCTTTGAAAACTTTCAATAGAAAACAGTAAAATATAAATTATATTGAATAAAGAAAAAATATGTGTATGTATGTACATAAATAATAGTTCCACACTAAAAATTTTCAATATATTTTTTGGAGTTAAATGAATTTTATCATTTTTTATTTTGAAATTTTTAATTACGCATAAAATCATTAAAAAATGTAAGTTTTCCTAAAATCTTATTAGATATAAAAGCATTATTTGGGCTTCCATGCAATAGGAACTTTAAACTGATTTATTGTGGGTACTTTAGAATTAAATAGAGTTAAACGGCTTAAAGACAAAAAGTAACTAAGATCTTTTCCTTGCAAATTAAAATTTTTGCACTTTATAATGACATAGAGCAAAATTTTTATTTATGGATAGTGCCAATGATTGAATTATACGTACATACATATACGTATGAGCAATTATTTTATATGATCTGACTCTGGTGGGTTATGCATGATTTTCAATAAATTCATGTTTGTACCACATACTCACTGAAACATAACATTTTTGTTCTGCAATGAAAGAAACAAAACAATTTTTTATATTAATTCTTTATTTTTTTTTTCTTTTTGAATACACAACATTTGCACCAATTTTTTTTTCTTTCATTGACCAGAATTATGATTTTAGTGCATAAAATTTTACTTTTTCATATAATACATTAATTCATATGTACATTTTCTATGTACGTATGAATATGTAATTGAAATTGTGAGCAATTTATTAAATAATTAAAATATTGCAGAATAATCAATCTTGTTATATATTACACCCACATAAAAACTATTCGATAGTTTATGAAGTTCACATATATGCAATGCACAAATAAACATTTATGTATAACGTCCAAACTTTTTACTTAAATACATAAAAGTTTGTAAGTAAAAAGTTTGAACTACCTTAACAAAGCACATTCTGTGCATCAAACTTTGAACAATGCTTTCGGTCACTGCTTGCATAACATAATTATATTTTAGTTTGTATTTAAGTTTATGATTAAGTTTATAATTTTGGCAGCTCAATGCGCCTAAAAATCTTATACATTTGTGCGAATCTGCGACAAATTTTCTAGGAACCGAATATTAATGGAATTCGGCAATTTGATAATGTTACTCGAATTGTAAATAAATCTGATAATTTTCTCGAATATAGGAATGCGATAAAAACATCATAACTGGAGCACAATATAACAATTTTACAATCAAAATTAAATCATAAAGAGTTTGGCAATCAACCCTTTCAGAAGAAATCCTATCTAAGCAAAAAACCACTTTTCATAATAGATTTCTTAAAAATTTTTCTGAATGCATTTTATTATTTTACAACACAGTGATTTCCACAAAATAATCTGAGATTTTAACAAAAATTTCCAATTTTATTGAAATTTTTCTTCCATTTTCAGTTCTTTTTCTTTTGCTACCATTTTTTTATTTTAGCTTTTAACAAAATATTTTAATGTAGAAATTATTAATAAGTGATAATTATGTCTGCAAATTTTTGAATTCTAGAACGCGATGCAAAAATTATTAAGAAAAATGTGATTAAAAAAAAACGAAAATTCCAAAACCAAGAGGAAAAAAAATGAAAAAAAAAATGAATGTATTCGCTTTTACACGAATATGTGAAAGTTTTGAATATTACTCGGAAACTGAATAAATATGTTATTAAAATAATAGCTAGCGCATTTTAAAAAAAATAAGAGTTGAAATCAAAAATTTTTATATTGTTTCAATTTTAAATAATTGAATCTTTTGTTGCACTACTAATAACCACCGCTGTAATATCGGTGCAGAATAAAATAACAATCTAATTTTATAAAAATAGAAAAAGTTTTCCATTTTAATTTAAATTTTGTTCACTGTAATACACTTTCGAATATATGGACTTGTTTCCAATAATATTTTTATTTATATAATAAAAGTGACTTTAAAAAAGTATGCTTGTTAGTTTGAATATGTCTGTCAGTCTTTTCTTCTGTCTGACCGCATAAAAAACTTTTGTACTGTTCATGAATCATGATAGAATTCCAAAACTGAATAAACAAAAATATATTATTAAGCAAATTTTATTTTCCCCTCCCCATAAGTTAGGTTCGCATAACAGTGAAAAGGCAAATTTTTGACAAGTTTCTATGTTAAAATTAGAAGTTGAGGCTCTTCTCAGAGAAATTAAAGATTTGTTTATAAATTATGATGTTTTATTTTTTTTATAGAACAAAATTTTTTCGTGGTTTTCGGTCCTCCTCCGCGGGAATTATTAATTTTCAAAAGTTTTAAAAAGTCAATTATCGGTTTTCTACTTTTTCGGCAATATAATAAATAATATGTTCTAAAGAAACAACAAGTAACAGTAAATGTCCTTTCGTTCAACCATATATTATGTACCCTTCTTCCGTAATTAAATTTTGTTCACAGTTCCCTTCTTCCGTAATTAAATTATTTAATCAATCTAATTTTAATATTCTAGTTTTTTAGTTAAATATTTTATTATGTAGACTTAAAGTAACTTAAAATAAAAGTAAAACAAAAAGTTCTACAAAATTTAATTTATGTGCTCTTTTTACAAAACGAAAGAACGGAAAACATACTCTCTTACCAACTGTTTGTATTTGATCAACTATACAAAATCCTATACTTAATTTATATTTCTTGTTATTTTATTTTATTATTTTCGAAAATGAAGTATCTTGTTTTATTTTATTGGCTATTGCATTGAGTAACAGTCAATATTTTAGAAATTTTTGATAGAGGATTTTTTCTAAAAGCAAGTCTCTATACGCAAATCTGTATGCGTTTATGAAAAAATTAACTAAATAAAAATAATAATGCTTTTAATTGCAGCTTAATATTTCAAATATTTGCCATAATTTCAGTCTAATTTTTCAGCATAGCTATTAGATGCTAAAAAAGTATTTATAAAAGTAAGAGATGTTTATTTTCTTCAAGTAAATGATGATAACAATCTGACTAAAATTAAATTTTTTAAAAGCTCTTTTTTTATTTTAGGCAAATAAAATTTAATACTGGTTAAAAATATAAATTTTTACTTACTCTACTGACACTTTTCGACCGTCGAAGTACGTTCATAATTAAATTAACGTTATATTATACTGTTAATGAATTTTCACCAATATTCCGGTAGCCAATATTCAATTCAAAATGCTTGGATGCCATAATGAATCTCAAATTAAAACAATGAAAGAAGTTAACGATGGTTTTTAAAAAGCAATTTGATCTAACTGCGATCCGTTTTGTTGCAATGTAGTTGAATTGTAGTTCAGTTTTTTATGAAATTAATACAATAGAAATTTATTAGCAAAGTTTCAATATCAATTACATAGGCTAATATCTGAATGCCAATCAAACAATAATAACAACATTAATGACGGAATTTATAAAAGTTTTACATATACGTATATATATACATATTTTTTTTAATTTATTTATTTTTGGCAATTTATTTGTGAGATTCTATTTTATATCGCATTCCTTAACTCTTTAAAAAGCTGATAATAACTGAGAGATTAGAATGTATAGATAAATAAGAATTTGTTGAAAGTTGATTCTACATTTTCTAAGTTTAAGTAAGCAGTTTCACTTTTGCTTTAAAGAACAATAGATATTAAAATATATTTACATTTACCTATGTAAAACTCTTATAATGAAATCACACTTGGAGATCATGTAATAATTTATAAACATTAACAGTAATTTATTTTATTTATTTTAATTAACATTTTATTTTCAAGAAAATTCGGATTTTAATTAAAAAATAAGTAACCAAATTTTAATAATATAATAAGTATATATAAGTGGTTCTCTCTTTCGATAATACCTGCATAGGTGTAAATTTTAAAATGTGTACCTATTACATTAGTATTACGCCATAGAACAACGAGATTGAGCACAATTATTTCAAAAGCTTTTGGGGAAATACAAGAGAATTAATTCTCAGAGAATTTGTAGTTTTTGCATTATAATTAGGAATAATAAAAAATTATTTTTTTTTTGACCTTGTAAGCTTATCTCTCATTATTTACTTCATTTACTTGCGGTTTGTTAACGATATAAAATTGTATTTGTGAAATTAAGTAGTTGATCCCTTTACTTTTTATATATATATGTATGCACCTAAATGCCTGCCAAATTTGTCGTACATAAATTAATATTATTGAGTACAAACAATGTACAAAATCAAAATTTTATTTATCAAAAATTCAATATTTTCAGATTACTTTCAACAATCTTGTTAATTAATGTGCAATTGAGTTCATCAAATGAAAGAAAATTCCCAAAAAATTTTGTATTTGGCTCATCCTCTTCGGCATATCAAATAGAAGGAGGTTGGAATGAAGATGGAAGGGGTTTAAGTATATGGGATGTTTATACGCATGAAAATCCAAATAGAATTGCAGATCGTTCAAATGGAGATATTGCAGCAGATTCATATCATAAATTTGATGAAGACTTAAAAGCTATTAAAGAATTGGGTGTAAGTAAATAGATTTTGAATCAAATTTACATAAATACATACATAACGTATGTTTAAGTTAATTACGTATTTTCTATGTTAGTTAGAATATTATCGTTTTTCAATATCATGGCCAAGAGTGATGCCTTTCGGAAATAATTCATTGATAAATGAAAAGGGAATAGAATATTATAATTCTATAATTAATAAACTTTTAAATGCAAATGTTACTCCAATGATTACTATGTATCATTTTGATTTACCTGAAGAATTAAATAAGATAGAGGGCTTTTTAAATCCATCAATTATTGAATATTTTAAAAATTATTCAGATCTTTTATTTGATAAATTTGGAGATCGTGTTAAACATTGGGTAACATTTAATGAAGCTTTTTTTGTATGCCGTCATGGATATGGTACAGCTGAATTTCCTCCAACAATTAGCGATTCCGGAATATCGGATTACAAATGTATTGATAATTTGTTAAAATCACATGCTGTTACATACAAACTGTATAAAGAAAAATATTTTAAAAAATATGATTCAAATGGCAAAGTTGGTATAGCATTAAATGCTAGATTTTTTTTTTCTGAAACAAATGATACTGAATTGGTTAATAGAGGATTGGAATTTGAAGTAAGATTCCTTAAGCAATTAAATATTATAATTAATTTTAAATATTAGAAATTAAAATGTTAATAAACAAGAATATTCATGTTAATTACATATTTAAATCTTTTATATTTAAGCTTGGTATCCTTGCTCAACCAATTTTTGGTCAAAATGGTGGATATCCCGAAATTGTTCTTAAAACCATAGCTGAAAATGACAAAAAAGAAGGTCTGGAATTTCCAAGACTTAAACAATTCGATTCAACTTGGTTGAATTTAATCAAAGGAAGTGCTGATTTTCTAGGATTTCAGTATTATAGCTCAAGAATGATATTACCGATTTCAAGTGAACTGACTGGAATTTCCTTTGAAAAAGATGCTAATTATAATATAACTGGAAATCCAAAATGGAAACCTGGCATTACAAGTCAATGGTATTCCGTTCCTGAAGGACTTGAATTGATTTTGAAGTAGTAACAATTATTTAAAATTATTTCATTATAAATTTATAGTAATAATTTTAGATGGATTTCAAAAAAGTATGGTGATATTGAAATTATGATAACAGAAAATGGATGGGCTGATAAAGGTGAACTAGAAGATGACAGCCGCGTTGAATTTTTAAGAGTAAATAAAATTTTCTGTTTCCTTTAATTTGCTAGATATATTCGATTTAACAATTATTACTTAGGATCATATGGAATCTATATTGAATGCTATTGAAAGTGGAGTTCGTGTGACCGGTTATCTACCATGGAGTTTAATAGATAATTTTGAATGGAATGCTGGATATACGTAATACTTTTTATTGATAATTTCAACTTTATAAAAATCATGTTCAAAATATTTTAGGCAAAAATTTGGTTTGTATGGTGTAGATTTTTCCGATCCAAATCGGAAGAGAACTCAAAAGAAATCGGCAAGATACTTTAAGGAAGTAATTAAAACACGAAAGCTGATAAATCAAGGTTCAACAAAAAATATTTCATTTACTTTCATTTTAACTGTTTTGATAATAATATTAGGCATTATGGCAACAAGATAATTTTCGTCAATAATTTCATCGTTATAGTTGTTCAACTCCATCATTAGTTCTATTTACATTCGAACATTTCTTTTTCAATTCGAATTTTTACATTTCTTTTTCAATTCGAACAGATTTCAATTATTTCTTATTGTTTGATATTTTAGGAAATTATGTACATAACGTATAAGAAAATTTATATTTGTTTACAGTAGTGTTTATTAATAAACTCAAATTGAAATTATCAGAAAAATTAAGCAACTCAACAAATTCTTAAACATAGTTCAAAACAATTTTAGAAAGTTGATTGATATCTGCCTATCTAATGACTAATAAACTCCAACCTTTTTTTTATAAGTTTGATGATACTGAGTGACTTTTAATAACATCTGTATAAAATTTGGCAGATTTCTTGGCTATCCTTTCTTTATTTGGACTTGACATATTAACATAATAAAGTCCAAATCTTTCTCTAAAATAAAAATTTTAAAAGTAAATTATATATTAAAGCAATTTTATGGTCATAAACTTACGTGTATCCATAAACCCATTCAAAGTTATCTATTAAGCTCCAAACTGTGTATGCAGTAACGTTACAACCTTGGTCAATAGCATCTAAAATAGCATTAAGGTGATCCTATATTAAAATAAAAGGAGAAAAGGTATAAGATTGTTATAAAAATGTTACAAATCAATATGGGTAAATATAAAAAAAAATTTTATCAAATATCGTTAATTAGTAAAGTTTTTCACGATACCCAAAGTAGTATACAATCTTAAAAAAATCATAACTTATATTGTAACTTTGTAGAGATGACGTATTTTGATTTAAATTAAAATACATTTTAAGTAACCGCTTTGTTTATCATATTTCTTGAGCTAATATTAAACACTAGAAAAACCAGATAATTTCCTTACTTTAATATATTGTATTCGATCATCATCATTTAATTGCCCGTCATCAGAAAATCCGTTTTCAGTTATCATAACTTCCACATTGCTGTACTGATCTTTAATAAACCTGAATCAAAATAATAAACATTAGTTGAGTTGTAATTTTAAAAATTACTATTTACCCTAGTAATCCTGTTAAGCCGCGAGGTACACTGTATAACCAAGTTGATTTAGCTCTTTTCCATTGTGGATCTACTGTAGCATTTATTCTTGCATCTCTTTCTAATGACGGACTTTTTCCTTTCGGTGACTCAACATATTCAATGTATCTTGATGTATAATAATTCAATCCTAGAAAATCTGCGGATCCTCTTATTAAATTTTTCCAATCCTCGGACATTGTTGGAAGTCGGGACCAGGCACGGCCTTCACCTAAACTATTCCGTCCAATTTCTTCAATCAAAACTTCAGGGTATCCTCCAGCTTTACTATAGATTGGGTGGGCAAGCCAGCCAAGCTAAAACTAACTTGTTATGACAATAGAAAAGAAAAATTATTTATAACCAACCATAAATTGCATTCCCCTATCTACTATACTCTCATCATTTGATTTTGAAAAATAAAATCTACTACTTATTGTTATACCAACTTTTCCTATTTTACCGTACTTCTCATAATATTTCATTCGATATAACCGATAGGCCATTGCATGAGCTTTTATGGTATGATCCAAACATAAATAGTTAGCAATACCATCGGATTCAATTAAAGGAGGATAAGTTGCTTCACCATAACCAGGATGACAATAATCAAATGGTTCATTAAAAGTTATCCAATATTTTACCTTAAATATTAAAGTTAAAATATTTTTTCAATATAAAATAAATTTAATAAGGCAACATACTCTATCTCCGAAATGAATGTACAGAAGTTCGGCATAATTTTCAAAATACTTTAAAAATAGGGGATTGGTGAAACCTCCTATATCAGTTAATTTTTGAGGTAAATCATAATGAAACATTGTTACCATTGGTTCAATATTATTTTCTAGTAATTTATTTATAACATCATCGTAATATTTTAAACCAGCCTTATTCAATGAAGAAATATCTCCTGTTGGCATAACCCTTGGCCATGATATTGAAAATCGGTAAAAATCTGACTAAAATAAATATTTCATTAATTTTTTTTTAAATAACAGTCGTCAATATTTTATTAAATAACGTAACATACCCCCAATTCTTTGATTATTTTCAAATCATCATCGAATCGATGGTATGAATCGGGTCCAACATCTGCATTTGATCTATCTGCTATTTTTTCTGGATGTTCATGTGTAAAAGTGTCCCAAATACTGAGACCTTTTCCATCTTCATTCCAACCTCCTTCAATCTGATAAGCAGAAGTTGATGTTCCAAATAAAAATTTATCAGGAAATTTTCTACTTTCATTTACAGATTCTATAACAGCATATGAATTACCGCCACTTATTGATGATATTTAAAAAAAATAAATGAAATTAAAATAATAAATCTGTTGACTATGTTCATGATACATTACGGGTTTATTTGTATTTAATGAGAAATTGATAATTAATAAAATTTAATAAACGTTTGCTTATTGCTGCCCTCTAATTAACCTGTGTTCCCATTAACTTACCGGTTACTGATAATACAGAAAATTTGAAATAATAAAAAGATTTTTTCTATTTTAATTCCTTCCATTTTAATGGTATCTTTCAGTTACAGCGATGAAAGTGAACTAATGTTCTCTTTTTGAAAATGAATATTAATTGAAATAAAATTTTCCTATTTTTTTATGCATCTACTTGTCTCTAATAATTGATAATTAAACTAAATATCAAAACAAAATTATGATAGTACTTGTCATATTACTGATAACTGAATTATTTAAAAAAAAAGTAATATAGAAATACAATTTTAAAAAAAGCTGATTGTGTAGATTGACTGAATATTGTAGAAAAGATGACCGAATTGATAAAAAAATAAATGTAAAATTTTGGCACAGAAATTTTAATTCTGCGAAAACTATGATAGGGTTGCCATTCTGAATCTCTTTTTGACCATCTTCTTTAGTCTTTTGCAAATCAGAATTTATACTTTTCCAATTCGATTTGTGCTCATTTTTTCACCTGGATTTTTAAAGCTACAGATTTTTTAAAATTAGTTGGCTTTTATTTTTTATATTGTATTACATATGTTCAATTTCATCAAAATTTTAGGAACTTTTGTTGGAAATATTTCTTGTTGTACAAAAGTAAAAAGTATGTATATTTAATATGACAATTAACATCTTTTATATTACTTAATACGTGGAAAAATCCAATTTTGAAGAATACTCCACAGAACTTGAAAAAACTTTACAAAGCCCAAAATGGTATAAGAATATTCGAAAGTATTATAACTTAGAAAAGAAAATGAATGATCAATTCAAACCTCTTAGAAATATTAAACAAAACCCGCTAAGAAAAAAAAGCTTCATCTATTTTCTGATAGATTCAAGAACTTTCAAAATTTTTAATTTGAAAAATCAGGTAAATGAAGTTGATTCGTTTTCTTAAAAGATAAAAATTACAAATGTAGTTAGAATTAAAGAACAAAAAATTACTTTTGCCTTCTAAGTTTTGGTTTTTTTTTCTTAAAAAACTGTGGCTTTTGACACCACATAATGAAAAGACCGAAGGCTCTTTTAATTTTGTATTTTGCATTCATTTTTCAATTTGTATCTAGACTAATGAACATGATATATGGAAACAATTTATACAATCAATATTTTACATAGGTAAGGGACAAAGTACACGGCCAAAATATCATTTTTATACAGCACAGAAAATTTATAAGAATATAAAAATCATTCATGATACAAAAACGAAGAATAAACCTTCAAAATATCGTAAACCGTATTTAGATTTTCTTTAATTTGTTAATAATTTAAAATTTTATTTTAAGATTTGCAACCTAAAATTAATTTAAATTATGTAAGGCTAATAAAATACAAAACATATTCAAGAATTATAAAAATTTGGCTTTCAAGACACACTGTTATTTGTTTATATGCATTTCAGGATGTAATACAAACTGCAAGTTATACAAGAGAAGCGGCAATGATTGATACTTTTGAAAAAAAATATTTAACTAATAAAATTAAGGGGAAATATTATGGTGGAATAGGGAAATGGCCTCTTGAAAAACGTTGTCGGTTGGGTTTATTATTACTTTATAAAGCAATGAAAATTATTGTAGACAAAAAAAATATATCGAATAAATTTTATTAAATTCAGTTTAATAAAATTAAGAAGTTTTTCTTTAAAATTACTTTAACATGAAGGTTCTAGATAAAATCTTAAAAGCCTTTTCACACCTGCCTGTCTAAAAATTTGCAGAAGCAATATTTTTCTTTTGCACATTTGTATCATACTTAAGTAACTCCTGAATATTCAACATATGTCTGTTATGGCTCTCTCCTTATTTTCACACTAGCTACAATAAACTTCATTTTCGAAACGCTATTTATGCAGATTTCGCACTTTGGATATATCGCACACGCATTATTTCTAAAAGATTTAGAACTAAATTATCGAAAATTCCCTATATGTATTCTAGTAATTTAACAATCTTCCATAAATTTCTTTTTAAACTTTACCGGCATCTTTAATAAAGAACTGGCAGAACAATCTTTTGATTTGTAATTGATTCTGAAAAATAGAATTTCAATTGCAGAATATTGTTTTTTATTCATTCTTTTTCAAAAATTAGTCTATAATAAATTCTATAATTTTTTTTCTCTCTCAATAGCTATCTTATATTTCTTAATCGCTTAACAACTAGACATATAAAATTTATTTTATTTAAAAAAAATGTTTTTTAAAATACTATGCACTAAATTACATGAAAAAAATTTCTTGAAAATCTTTTACAAATCTATGAGATTAAAATATAAATTAATAACTATGTATGTATATAAAATGCTAATGTAAGTTTGTGAAATATTTAAAAAAAATAATGAAATATAATTAAATCAAAATGTCCTTTTTCCAACTCTTTTAACTCTTATAAAATCTTATGTAATACTGTCTATTTAAAAAAAAAAATAAACAAAAAAAAAAAAAAAACAAAGCAAAAAAAAGTGAAAAACATACATTTTTTAAATCGGATTTTGCAGCATTTTTTGGTGTGATAATAATAATATAATGAATTACAAACATGATTTTAAATGATTCACGTGTAAATGAAATGAGTTCCCTTTTGGATAATGTCTTATTACTAAATATTTTTGTTGAGAAAGAATTGATTGAACGTGCATTATTTCACAGATTTCTTACCAAAATATAAAAAAACTGCAATGCAAAGCCCTACTGAATATAAAATAAATAACGCTAAATAATGAGTAAATGAGTTGGTAATGAATCACTACAATCATATTCGGAGTTCCGATATTATATCTATTTTGTGGATTAAAAAATCAATTGAATGAATTAAGTCATTAGATCAGACATTAATATAAAGTTAAAAAAATATATATAATTATAAATGCATAAAAAAAAATATTTATATTAAAAAAAAAATCTATATAAAATGAATTGTAAAAAATAAAACAGAAAACAAAAACAAAACACACCAAATATGGTTATTTTTCTTTCAAACAAAAAGCAACATTTTTCTAAAATAAAAAATAATTAATTAATAACTTTTGGCTATTCTCAAAAAATTTACAATATTGGATTTTTTTTTGTAGTAGATTTTTTTCTATATTGATCTAATACTGGAATTACAATTTTAAATTAGAGTTTCACAAAAGGACTAATTTGTTTTTGTTTTCATTTCAATTTTTTTTTTTTTTGCATCAATGTTTGTATGTACTTAATCATTAAAATTCTTAATACTATCATTTTAATTCCGTCTTGCATTTCAAATTTTTATTTTATTATTTAATTTTTAAAGCGTGTCGTTTTTCAAATAATTTAAAATTTTCTGAATACATCAATATGAACCTCTACAATTTTAAATTATCAATTTCGCTGATATTTTGCTCTTCACCAAGTAATCCTGTATTTTCAAATAGTTTCTCATTTGTAAGTAATGGAATTTTAGAAACTTCAAAGAATATCTTATGTGAATATTTATTACGAATAGTTTTTATTGCATCCTTAGGTTTACGGTTCAAGCCAGCATTTAAAATTGGTATTATGTAACCAAAATCTGCGACTTTATAGCCTGTTGAAATAAAAGGCAGTTTATTTTTTTGAAAAGAAAGAAAAACTAACATGATAATAAAGGAACAATTCATAACATTAATTTTATATTCAAAACAATTTTTTGTAGTTTTGTAAATTTTAAAATTTCAAAAATCATAACTTATTACCTGAATAATATTCCAATGTTTTTGTCCATGGTGATTCTTTACATTCACTATTTTTCATTTTCAATGCCATAAATAGAGCGGCACATGCTAATTGCGAATCACTTAAGCTAACGGTTGTGTAGTCCATTAATGAGAACTCTAAAATGTATCTAGCTAAAGTTAAGGTAGGCATTGCTATTTTGGAAGTCTATAAAATTAAAAAGAAACATTTAATTTCAGTTCAAAAATATTCGAATAAAATAAAATTTATACTAACTCTTGCATATCGTCTGAGGAATCTATATGACAGTGGTATACTTAAATCAAAATCAATTGTTTTTAAGACACTCATCTCCATTCTAATCAGTTCTTTATGCAAATACGCTCCATCGCAAATATATAAGAAATCATCAACAAGTGGCGGGGTTCTCTCCTTTTGTTTTTTTTTTGTAAATTAAAAAAGTTACAAGTTTTACGCATATAAAACATAAAGTAATTACAAATAATAAATGCAGCGAACTTACATCAAATTTACTTGCAATGAATAATGATGCTGCCCCTAATAGTTGTAACTTATCTTTCTGAACGATTACTTTGGTTAAATAGAGATCAACTAATTTTACAGCTAGATAGACAGTTTCATGGTTTAGTTCGAACGTCTCTTGTACTTCAACCATCCAGTCAACGAGCAATGAACGCATCCACTTAGTTATATGTGTTTGCCTTTCCATGTAATCATCAATTGGAAAGAATGCCTATAAAATAAATAAAATTTCATAAATAATTTGGAGTATTTCTTTAATGATTTGAAGTTTCAGTACTTCTCTTCTTTTCATATAGTTGAAAATATCCATTGCATAATGAGACACTGCAAATGGATCGTCCCAATTTTCTTTATCGAAATCTATTACTCCTTCGGGTACCTCATGTTCTGCTTGTTTTAATGGAGAGGGTGTTAAAATACGATTTTTACTTTTTTTATCATTATCAATTTGTTTGTCAATTAAAGATTTTCGTTTGGATTCTAATGATAACCGTGACACAGATTCTCCCGATAACGGGCTTTAATTTGAATATAAGAAAAAAAATTTTTTGCATTACTTTAATAGTGTACTTATAACTATCTCAAAATCATATTTTTAATCACCATATATCAAATATCAAAGAGTTAACAAAATTTAATCACACAATTGAAACTTACAATTCTTCTAAAGCCGACATATACAACGTATCTTCAGTCTTTTCAAATTCATTTGATATTCTTCGTGTTTTTGCATCTAAAGAAACTCTTCTGCTAGGTGCATATTTTGGCGGTGGAATGTTGACATTTTTTAAATACTGTGGTTGTTTCTGATTGTGCTGCTTTTGATCTTCCAAATGAACAGAACTTTTTACCGAAATTTCTTTTACATGTTGCCCTTTTTTATGATGCTCTTGCTGCTGTTGCTTTTGAGCATATTCGAAACATTCTTTGGCTTTAGTATTGTAATCTGATTGTTTCTTCAATTGGTTATGTATGGCTGAAAGTGGTACAACAGACGATTTACTACTAGTAGAAGTAATAGTATTTTCTTTTATTTTGGCAGCTCTAGTAACAACTTTGTTACTTCGTAATACTATTCCGGTTTTCTTCACTTGCTGTTGTTGTTGTGTATGAGTTAAGATTGCATTTTCGCTCTGTAAGCATGGCAAAAAATTATATATCTAAATGGAACCTTATATAATTTTCAACTAAAAATATTGAAAATAAAGAATTCCCTACCTTGGTTTTAAGAATAACACCTAGAGCTTTGTTATCATTTTCGATTATTGTTGTTTTTCCAGAATCCTGTGATGCAGATGCTTTTGATTTCTTGTGAGTTTTATCATCATCCAAGTGTAAATTAATAACATTATTAGTTAAATTTCCCAATGCAGACCGTTTAATTTTATCATTTTTCAATGGGCTTAAATCAGCCCTCCTCTTAGAGCGAGTTGTAATTTGATCTAGGTTTTCTTGAGAATTTTGTGCTTTAGGAACAAATGCAACACTTGAAAAGAAAACGACATGAACATTCTTTCTTTTTCAATGCAACAGTTTTTATTCTTACCCGGAAGTAATGGTTTTCCTTGCTAGTTGTGGTAAGGAAGATGTATTCACAACAGAACTTCTTCCACTTCTTGTTGGCGCCATTTATTTAGTTTCAAATGATATTTTTTCCTCTTTTTTTAAACAGCAGGAGCGTGTTTATTGGTTATAGCGACTAGATTTCAAAGCCCCTCTGTCTTTCAAGAATATTATTGCAAAATGTTGGAATAAACAGACATATATGCCTGTAGTTTAGTTATGAAATCTACAAGTACTAAATAAAAATTGTATAACAAAATATAAGATTTTTTCGAAATTTTTAAAAATTTAAAATAAAATTAATTACAATCAGAGAAGACAAATTTATGTATAAATTTATGAAAATTAAAATTGAGATAGGCATGCTTCGAATTTTTTAATTTTAATGTACAACACAATTTATTTGAAACAAAGAATCAATGCTAGAATTAAATTTAAGGTTCCGTCCCACTTACTTACATTATTTTCAACGAACCATTCCTTTTTAATTTTGTGTTTTGATTTTTTTTTTTTAAAATAAACCAATTCGATCAATAAATTAACTTACGAATTTATTAAAAACTTAATCCAACAATAATACATGACTAACAAATAATAAGCAATAACAATATTTAATTTTTAAAAATAAACTTCATAATCAAATTCATTGATTTTTTCTTTTAATTAATATAAGCGTGTAAACTATATTATTTTTATTTTCCCCCTAAAACTTATCAATATTTTTTAAAAAATATTAACGTTCCGAATAAAATTAAGATAACATGACCGCCAAATCTGATCGACAGATGACTGACTAAGAGCAAAAAGTATTTTTGATGTAATTCTTAAATTTCAGAAGAAAAAGCATAAAAAAAACAAAATAGTAGTTAACATTTTAGGTCGTCCTTTTTTATAACATTTTGATTTCTTAAACTTCCAAATACCTTCTAAAGGTAAAAAAGGGACATTCCATGCACAGAAGTTTTTTTTTATTAAACAATAAACAAGAAATAAATAAAAATAAATAATAAATCTTGGGTAAATTTTTCTTCCTTTTTGGAATAGAAAGGTTACCAGATATTCTTAAAAATTTAAATTGCAATGCAAAAATTTTGGTAGTTTTAGTAATTGGATTTTTTTTTAATAATATGTAAATAAGACAATAGAACTTCGTTCGTGATTTAGATGATTTAATATAAGCCATAATTCGGAAACATAATTTTTGGGATAATATTGATGAGAAGACTTGATATTCATTTTTCAACTCATAGGATCTTTTTCGATCTTTCCCGATATTTTTAATAACCGAGTAATTCAATTCATCTAATGTTAGCTCTCGTTCTCCTGACCTTTTTGTAGTTGCCATTCATAGAACTATAATTACAGGAAATATGAACTCGCCAATAGAATATTGAATAACATTAACAAGTTCAAAAACACACTTAATTTCACACTAATAAAAAACAGAAAGACCTTATAGTTAATTTATTCGTTTCTATTTGATACATGTGTTGTTATTTTAGAAATTTGTAATATTTGATTTTATACAGTTTTAAATAAAATGTAAAATAAAATGAAAAACAAAATAAATAAATAAAAACGATTTTTGTTGTGGACGAAAGTTCTGAATTGACACGACTCATACATCTGATACACTTGGCATCTCTAAACTCAACAAAAAAAAAAGAAACTATTTGCTTATTGTTCCATTAAATTCATTTTTGTTATTCGTATCCTTAAAAATACCCTTCTTTTTTTTCTTAACTTACAAAACTACATAAAAATTTACGTTTCCACATTTATAAATCCTTTTCAAAAAAATAAATGGAAAATAGATTTTATTAAATTCATTTTAAAAATATTTTTTGGGGGAAATTTATGTACATACAAACATATTAACTAAGAAATGACAAAAAAAAACCTACCTACCTACGTTTTTTTCCCTATTTGTTGTTCGCATTAAGTCAGGATAGGTGGAAGAAATAGATAAAGAACGGGAAGATTTTTCTAGGATGATTTTCTTTTGCTCTACTATGCCTGTTTTCGTAAATTTTGACACAAATACAATTTAAATACAAGAGCATTGGAATTTCAACAGACAATTTTTTTTGAATATTTCAAAATCAATGAACAAAATGTTATACTTGTAATTTATAATATAAGCCCTACGAGTGTGTCATAGAGGTGAATTTCAGGTAAAATATATCCCTATAGTGGAAAGAAATATCAATTTAATTAACTTTTAAAATTTTAAGTTTTATAGTCTGGGAAATTCTCAACATAGTGACTAAAGATTCAATAGTCTTTAAAATACTTAATGTTTTCATTTAAAATTTATTAAAAAAATTTGAATTATTTAGTGCAAACAAAAATTTTAATGCTGAGTTTCAATTTCAAGATTTTCGAACTTCAATCTATTATTAAATTGAATTTATATTTATAAAAGCCCGACGGCGTGAAGACTTTAATTTAAATTAAAATAAGTATAACAAATGTACACATATTTTTTTATAATCTAATTTTACTGTCCTATCTATTATTACCTTTTTCATTAGTAGGTACTTAAACTTGTCTTGCATTTTGATAAAAATTGAAAAGTTTTTTAAAGAATTTTGTTTACTATTTTGTATACGCTTATTAAAGTCACACAATTTGTTATACATATAAATAGAAAGTTAAGTTTATTCAAGAATTTTAAAGAAATCAAAGTACACAAAATTTTTTGTTAAATTATTATTGAATTTCTGAAATAAATAAAAACTAAAACTTTTTATTTAGGTGAAATTTAATTAAAAAAGAATAAGGTTCAGGTTTGCAATGTATTTAACATATCCATATCAGGTTTAGCCCTGATATTTGGCTTATAATTGTAAATCCAAACATAAGCCTTTGGGCATAGCGTTATTATTTATTTAGAGAATGCGACTACGTATGCGTTTACAAGGTGAGATTACCATTCGAAATCTTCTTGCTTACATTTGTAAAAGAAACAAGTTTAATTTTCGTTTTATGAATTTTGATTACCGGCGAATTTTATGTTAACTTCATCCTAACTCAAACTTTACAACTTTTACGTTTTGTAAACGTATTAAGCTGTTAAAAAAAAAAATTTTTTTAAGACCTATCTAGGAACTTTGGAAACAGATGTCAAAAAATGTTGCAGGGATTTCGTAAACATTTTCAATAACATGTCGCACAATCATATTTGGAACTCGTACTGGTAACACACTTTTCAGTAAAACAACATTTCTCATTTTAAAAAGCGATTTGTGTGCAGTAAATACAGACTTCTGAGAGCTGTAGCCCTCTACATAACATATGGGTACACATAATACTTTTGCTAAATTGGTTCGGCTACATTATAAACTTTAAGTCTTTACTTGTTACAAGAAAAAAAAAATATTTGCAAGTACTAATTCTCACATTTTTTTTTTTTTTTATATATTAGTAGGTACATAGGTTGATATTATACACTTAAATTTTATATTGTTGTTCTTTTTATTTTAACTGCTTCATTGTTCGTCTTTAAAATTTTAAGGTGAAAAATAAGGCAGCTGTTCAATCGTTTTTTTTTCTCTCTTTATTCTTTAAGGAAAATACTTAATACATACACTACATACACATACTGTATGTCGAGATATGAGCATATCTACATACATATTGCATACGATCGTACCTATTGTTCAGTACAACTAAATAAAAATTGTTCTTAATTTGAAAAATTAGTTTGCGGATCATAAACTGAATAGACTGGAAAGGTTGAAGAACTTCAACGATTTTTTTTAGCAATTTTTCTTTATATATATACATATGCATACATATAGTGAAAAAATATATATGATCTTAATAAAATTAAGAAGTTTAGATATAAAATTCTCTAAAATTTAGTTATGAAAATTTTTTGAACAAAAAAATAAGTTATTTGCTTATAAAATAGTTAAACAAGTTGGAAAAACAGTTTAAATCAGAAAAATTGGCATATAAGAGAAAAAGTACCTAACTTAGAGAAATAGACCGGTATTGGGAGGATGTATATGCATTTTTTCTTTATTTCTTAATATTAAAATAGATATTTAAAGGGTTTATACCAAAATGGGTAGTATGTAATATACATACATATACATAGGTATACACATGCAGTACCATTTAAAATCGCGCCTTTTTATTTCAGTACTATAAATTATTTAAAAAAATATTTTGGAGCACTAACAATTCTGTACTTAAGCTATTGCGCAATTCAAATGCGCGTAATCACGTACCTACACATATTACAATCAACACACTTCACGGCAACGTGTAATTTAGGGAAAACATTCGGAAATCTTATTCCTTTAATTTCATTGTAATTCTATTGGGATTAATGAATTTGAAAATATCTCCAAAATATTTTACAAGTTTAGTGACAAAAGTTTTATTTTCCAAAACCCATACTTCTTAACCAAATTATGCTTTTGTAAGTAGGTAAGTTTTATACTAGGATATATCCTTTTGATTCCGCGTAAGCTTTTCTATTACAAAAACCGGAAAATAACATCGAAAATTTAATATCTGCAAGTTCAGTTTAATTTGAACACCAAACACGCCTTTAATACCTACATAATCTAAACTGAAGGTTTTATATGTGCGTTTTTAAAATTTGATCAGGTACACGATTTAGTAGCCAAATTTTTATTCATGTTGATTTGTGCATTTCCTTTACATTTACATTTGTATTACATATGTATTTGAAATTTCTTATCTTTATAATGTAAAAATTTTTAAAATTAATTTCATTTATTTATGAAAACACGCCATATTTTATGAAACTTGCTTAGCAAATCCTTTAAAAATCACTGTACATCTAAAGTTTGAGTAGCTTCTTACCTTTGAAAAAATTTATTATCCTTGCATCACCACATTTTTCCTTTTGGAATGTTAACACACAAAGCACAAAAACTTTCTATTTTTCAATTAATATTTTATTTTTTAATTTTATTTTCCTAAAATTAATACAAATTTTGTTCTAATAAATTAATTATGGCTATTATTTACAGTTAAAAACAAAAATTAGTCGTTCGTTTTCGTTCGTTCGTCTAAAATTTGGATTTAAAGTATGTATTTGAAAGTTCAAAATTGATGTTGTTTGGATATTTAAAATCGATTATTAAATAGCATTGCCAATTATGTCGCAACTTGTGTCACAATTTTTTTAATTGAATTTTCTAACACGTTAAATAAAATTTTTTAATTTTTTTACATGGTAACTATATTGAACGGGAATTGATATTCTCCCGCCGAAATGAACAAAAAATTAGATTTAAAATTTAAACCTAAATCGAGAAAATATTACTTTTTGCATTAATCGAAAAGAACACGACTAACTTACAGCTTAATTATGTATCTGCCTTTTTACTCGCGTTTTATTCACTTTCAAATCAAAATTTTAATGGATATTTAATTTTTCCAATAAGATTACCAAGTTTTTCAATTTGATTTTTGTATTTTTTCTCAAATTATCGACTGAACATCTCACTTTCAAAAACAAGAGAATAAAAGTGAATACATTTTAGAAAAAAATGAGATACGTAATACCGAATAATTCTTCTTACATGAAAATTACATTATAGAAATATATAATAGTTAATCACTTTCTCCTCATTTGTCAAGTAAAATAACAGGATGGACGATCAGTTCCTGAATGCTAAAGAGGACGTAATTGTGTAATTGATTTGTAATTATAAATATAAATATACATAGATATGCAGTAATAGCTTTAAGAAATTTGACATATTAGAAATATAAGTTCTTATAAATGAAACCTTTATACATAACAACCGACTCTGCATCTGTAATGTATCTGCGTACTAATCTTCGGCATCTAAAGATTTTAAAAGCAAAATATTAAAAACATTTTAGAACTAGAATAGCACGTATTCGAATCATATGGCAACATACTCTACCGATTCAATCAAATTTCTAAACTGTCAATGAGCTTGTTTACATAGTGTTAGTATTTGTCGTTAAAACGAAAAGTAAATTCCAAAACGGAATCGAAGAATAAACTTGCTGAAGATGATTATAATTTTGATTTATCTTCACTTCCCACAAAAATACCATTCAGCCCATTCAATTTTGATGGCTGAATGGCATTTTTGTGGAAAGTTTGTAATCGTAAATAATGTTGTGGGAAGTGTCTGTCAATCTTTGTAGAAAGTAACCGTCAATTGTATGGATGTGTCATTATTTATGATTACAATATTGTGAATTTTAAAAATTTGATTTTAAATACAGTAATTCCTCGCTTAGCAGAGTTCAGAAGAAACAAGTCCTTTTTTTTGTAAAAATGCAGTTTATATTTAGTGTATATATATAAATTCATAGTTTTTATAAAATAATTTTATCAATATTTTTTTATATATAAAATTATTTGCGTTTTCTGTAAATTTTGAGATAATTTTTACTGTCCATCAATTAAAATACATACAAAATTGAATAAATATGGACTTATTAATTGTACCACTGTACATTATAATAAATATTTTACATTTGTATAATAATGCTAATATGTATAAGTATATAAAAACAAAATTATAAATTTTAAGTCAAAATATTTGATGTAGTTTGAGATTACTGACATATTACTGGGTTTACTTAGAACACGTTTAAATGTTTGTATATATTGCACAGAAGTTTTTTTTTAAAACTAATAACTAGAATCAAACTTAGCAAAACATTTTCTATTATATAATTGCGTCGTACAGTGTATTTATACTAAATATACAAAAGAAAGTCAAACCGACTGCAATTAAATCCATCCTTGGCACTTCATATTTCTCGCATATCTGACTAAAAACATATTGATTGAGCACTCCCAATGTAAAAAGTCCATATGCCCAAGGACTATCATATTGCACCGCCAAATAAAGTAAGACACATAAATTAAATCCCACAATAATATCTATCATTATATGAAAACTGTCTCCCTTGAAAAAACTCCATACTATTGGTATTGCTGCTGTTAATGCTGGTATACATAACAAATTAGGCATATTTCCGTAACCATTTTTTAATAATAAAAGTTGTGAAGTCAAAAAAGGTACAGAGCAAGATTCAACTAAAATTGTGCTTAAAAAACAATTATGTATGTATTATTCGTTTTTTTAAGGACGTGTACGTATTATGTATATTCTTACCTAATTTTGCAAATTTTTCTAACTGAATCACATGGTTGTGGATGTCCATAGTAAGCTGCGCCAATTAATGAGTGACCAAAAAGCATAATATATGAGGCAAATGAAAATGGGTACTCCGCATTACAGTATTTTAATGTCCAAGCTGAAGTTCCTGCTAAAATTAAATGCGTTATACAAGTGGATGCACTTAAATGGCCATTTGCAGGAGTATCTTCCATATTTTCTTGGAGTTCTTTTTTCTATAAAAATTTTTGTTTTAGATTTCAATACTTGTTACAATGGGAAAAATAGTTTATTATTTTGCAATTCTACCTACACATTATAAATTATATATTTGAATCAAATTTTATTTTATACATTAATATACATGTATGTATGTTTTACAATACATGTTAGTGATTTGCAAATAGGTTATACCTATTTATTTGAGTTCATTTATTTATATCAATTAGAATCATATTGCGTTGCAACAAGTAGGTAAGTGGCTATACATATTATCTATATTCGTTTAAATATGCCTATAGTTATTAGAGAAATTATTATAATGTTTTTCATCATATTTATATATTTTAAGGAAAAGACTCCATAATATTATGATGGAATTATATCAGTATAACCAAATTAGTAGAAACCAAAACAAGTTGAAAAAAGTAAAAAATAATTATTATAAATGCAATCATAGGTCCTTTAGTGTTTTCCTAATACGCATTTCTGAAAAGCCTCAAGTTCAAAAATATACTTACATTTTTATATCTTGGTTTGCTCATATTGGTTCCTTTCTTCTTCAAAAACTATTGTTAACTTTGATTTGCATTATTTTTATAAGTCTTATTTGAAACGAAAATATTTTTCCATTTAAAATATTTAATATGTAAATTGTATAAAAAATATGCGTATAAAATTCGACCGAAAATTGTTTTCCTTTTTTTTATTTGTAAGCTAATAAATACTAAAAACTAATTAAACTAAATGTTTTATAAAAGCTTAAGAAATTATTCCATTTAACTCTGTTCTAACCATATTTGGTTAATAAATTTTTATATTATTATGTTTTTTATTCGAGAATACAAAAACATAAATACAAATATGCAAAACAATAATATTTGCGATTGGAACTTTAATTTCTGAAATGACATTTGGGACATTGTCACAAAATTACTAATTTTTTGACAACCGGGCTAATAAGTGTTTACGTTTTTTTAAGTTCCTCATCTACTGTAACCTACAATTTGGTTGATTGACGGTCATGACTTTAATAAACTAAATGGTGTTTAATGAAATGATTAACGTCTGACGGTCACTTCCCACAAAAATACCAATCATTCAGCACCCTTGTTTTTAAAGAGTCAAAATGGTTTTTTTTGAGGGGCGACCGTCAACCGTTTGTTTTGTTATTTTTTGCAAACATGATTTTTCATTTGCAGAAATATCTGTTTTAGTTTTATCTTAGTGCAGAAATTTTTTAACTAAGGTGAAATTTTTTTTTTTGTTTTATTTTTAGATTTTAGTTTCTAATTAAATTTGCAAAGAAACGAAAAATAAAGCGAAAGGGAATCAACATAACAATTACAACATTATGTAAACTCCATAAATATTTTATTAATAACTCCATTTTTTAATAACTCCATTTTAAGCCCTCTATGAATAGATAGGGAAAGCAATTCAAGCAGTTCAATTTTTTTCCTAACCGTTAATAGAGGGCTTCAAACGTTATTTAGCGCTATAATTTATATACAAAAATTATACAAATCGAAATTTTCAGTTTTTCGTATAACATAAAAATTTTTGTTTATATTTGATAAATATCTTGAAATTTGACGTTTATCACCTATTTATAGTTTTCTCAACTTTTCCGTCTGGTTTATTTTTTTTTTCTTTTTGTGAGAAATTACAATATTGTTTTCTCTTTTCAAATTTTATACTAGACACCTATTGAATTCAAGCAATCTTTACTAAAAACTTTTTATTTTTTACAATTCAATTTAGATTAAGTGTCCAATAACCATCACCATGTACCATATATTTATCGGACATCCATAAGTATTTTACTGATTCTACATAATATGTTCACAGTCACCAGTTGTGATGATGGATTGGTGAAAAGGAAATGTAGGTCGATAAATCACATCACTTCATTATAGACTTTATTTTTGTATTTTATTATTTTAGCAAAAATTACATTGGAGAAGATCTAAACTTCTTGTTAAACATCTTAACTTACAAGAACAATACTCTAGTAAAATTTTCTTTAAATTTTAAACTATCTTCACTAGACTTATTCTCACGGAGAACACACGTATGTATATAGGCACGAATAAATATGTGTAAAACTGATTGCAAGTGATAATTATTATTAAATTAATTTTTTCGAAGTAAATTAATTAGGACAATTCTAAAACTTAATTATTACATAATTCTTGAATTTCTCCATTTAAATCATGTGTATTACAGTGTAAAAGATGATATCTCCTATATTTTTATGATATCCTATAACTGTTATAAAATTCAAAATACAACAAATTCAATATATTTTTAATATTAATTCAAAAATTTATATTTTTTCAATATATTTAATCATAGCACTTGCATAATTGAAATTATAAACTTCTAATAAATTGTTACAATTTGTTAATTAACTGCATCACCTAATTACTTACATTTTTATAATTAACTTGTATATTAAACTTATTTTTGCTTTTGACAAAATATCTTGTAATAAATTACCTGTAATCTAATTAAAACATCTTTGAAGCTCAATTAATCTCCACCTAATTATTACCTACATCCTACATTTTAATTAATATGATCCCCACGATTTCATCGCTTCGCTTATATAGTCCAAAGTTTATATATATATAAATTTGGTATACACTTGTGCTTGTATAATATAATATATTTATAACTATTATAGCATACGAAAAGCCGATGAAAAGTTAATTTGTCAGTCTTTCTGAAATAAATAAAGCGAAGTGTAATTAAAATATACATTCATATAAATTCATATGTATATATGTATGTAAAAATTTTAGCTTCTTTTTAAAATAATTTTTAACACCTGTACATCAACTATTATAAAATATTGCTTCTAATAAATAACATAGTAAAAATAGGTAGAAAAAAGAAATTAAATGCAGAGTTTCAAAGAGTTTTCTATACGATTATACTTTTGTTTTCCTTTGCAATCTCTATTACAATAAATTATTTTGTTAAAAAGATAGTAAAGACAAATTTTTTAATTGCTTAATAAATTTTTTTTAAATAAAAATTTTGAATATAAAATTGCATATACATACATATATGTATTGGTAAAATATCCAAGCAAAATTCTCTATTTTCCCGGATAATCCTGAATGCAAAGTAAAACCGCAAGAACAAACGCTATAATATGTGTATTTTTCTATTTTAAATTTCAGTGTAAAATTAAAATAAGAAAGCCTACAATAAAGAAGACGTTTTTCTTAATACCAATAGAATTTTAAACAATTACATATAATAAGAATTTTGGAAATAAATAGCAATAAATCTAATCTAATTAAATTATTAATACTATGTGTTCGATGTACTTTAGTCGATGCTATTATACTTTGAGTTCAACACTATATATATATATTAAATATAAGAGTTAAATAATAACTATTAAAAAGATAGTGTAGTAGATACTAGATTTAATTAGCAACTACTATTATTGGTATTATTACTATTGTTGTGTTACTTAATTAATAAAACTCATACAACGTTTTATACCAATGGAATAACAATATTGTAAGACAAAATTATTTAAAATAATTAAATAAGGTGCAATTTTTTTTATAGATCGCCCAAAAAAAAAATTACCAAATCAATATTATTTCTCCGAATACAACAATATATCACTACTATAAAGTGGAAAAAAATCTTGTTACATAGTATAAGCGTTTTGTTAAAGTCATTTGGTATTTAATAAAATTTTTATTACAAAATCTTGATCTCTTTTAAATGAATCGGTAGAAAGAAAATAAAAGAAATGTATTGAAGAAAACGCTTACAGGATTTTTTTCATAAACATGCATACATGCTCAACAGCGAAATAAAGCGAAAATAAAAATAGATGATCAATCTTTCTTCCTTAAGATTAAAAATGTGAATGAATATACACACAATATTCATTGTAATTGGATTTTAAACTAATATTCAGTATTTTTTCAGTAAATTCAACATAAATTTAAATGATTATTTAGTGTTAAAAGAATTGTAAATGTTTAAATTGTGTCTTCCCATTGATAATCGTTTAATTTATTTTTATTTGCAGATTAATTTGAGTACACTTTTATGTTATAAATTGGTTTATGGTGTAATAAAATCTATTTAGTTAAATGTTATTTAAAATTTAATTTAAAATCGCAACCCACTTAAATTCATTTGATCGCATTTTTGATTGTGTAAACGGAAATTAATTATTTGTTGTTACATAAATGATCGTACATGCGTCACTTGAAATAGTAAAACGAATTAATTGTAAAAAATCTTGAAAACATGTTAAGAAATATTATTATTTAATTTTGTAAACACTAGTTTATGATATAAATTAGTGTACTAAGACCTACTGATTTGGGAGTGAGCTGATGCTATTGTACTAAGATCTTTTTTTAAGTTGGCCAAATCAATTTTTTTTTAAAACTTAATTCAACAATAATTGTATTAAAAACTTTTTTTTTTAATTTTCGAATTTTTTTGCATCTTGAGCTCATGAAATAGTTTATCAGAATCCATATTATGACAACAATATCAAAATACTTAATGGAATTAAAAAAAAATTATTAAATCAAATAACTTAAAATATGTATAAACTAATTCCGAAGGATTCAAGCTGCCATGGTGACTCAATATCAATGGAACATTTGAAACTTAGAGAAAGAAAATATGAGTATAGGAATTTGTATCTTTAAGAATAGAAATTGTAAGCTACAATTTTAACATCATTACAAATTTTTTCACAATTAATTTTCTTTTGATTTTTTAAACAATTAAGCGATTTAAAACAAACATTTTAATTTTTTTTCCACAGTTAAGAAAAAATGTAAATTAACAGAGGAAAAAGTGAGAAACAGAGACCGATAAAAAACATTGAATTTTTCAAAATCAATTAAGAAAAATTAGCAAAAAATTTGATAAAATTAAATAAATTTAAAAAAAGTTAACTTTTTGCTTGGCTATTTTTCACCTAATTGTGACCCTTATTTATTACGCGTTGTGTAATTTAAAATTTAAATAAATTTTATACTCTTTTAAAAAGTTTGGTTTTGTAAAATTTGCTATTGTGAAAAATGTTTTATATTGCAAAAACATTTGCAAAAAGTGCTAACAATTAATAAAATATCACATACACACATTATACTTTCAAATTATGTACACAAGAAAATGTTTGGCATAAATAGATAACAGTGATATGATAAAACTACTTTGGCATATAAAATCGGAATCAAAAAATTTATCTGAAAACATAAATCTTATGTTTTGACTTTGACATTTTTCTCTTCAAATTAATTTTAGTCATTTTGCATTTTATATTACATTATTTATTGAGTTTGAGTTGACTCTGGCTATAGTTGCATCATAAATATATCTATATACACTATCAAGTCATTTTTGCGTCAGTTACAACTTAGTTGCTAAGATTTTAACCCGAAATAAATCAAAATGAGATTTCGTAATTTTATTATCAGGCTTTAATTATTTGGAGAAAGTAAATAATTATATTTTGAAATAAACATCACAACAATTATAGTTATGTATAACTCTATGATTTAATTTTTAGGGAAGAAAAGATGTTACAAACAAAACAATAGTATAACAGTTGAAAAACACAAACACTCAAAGAAGAAATTGCGTATCTTTTCTTTTAATTTTTTGACATGTTGACGTTGAGTTATGACTACTTTTTAACTATGAGCTAAATTCTATAAGAGTTAATTTCCTTTTTTAATTCATAGCCAAATTTGCCTTTTAATTTTTTTTTTAATTTTTTCATTTACCGGGGACTTCCAATAAAAAATAAAATACGCTGCTGTTAGATAATAAGTTTGAAAAAATAAAACTTGACAGGGAAGTTACAAAAACTGAGCAAATAAACAAACAATAAATGATAAAAAAAAATATGCGTGTTCATACAGAAGTACCGAAAAGCGAATCATAACAAAACTATTAAATTTATAATAAAAAACTAAGTTTAACTGAAATCAATATATTCTTTTGTTTTCTTTTATAAAATTTTTTTGTTGAATTTTTCTTTTTTATGAGCTTTTAATTGCTAAAATATAGTAAACATGACGTTGTGCCACTTGTAAACATCTTCAAAATGAGTGATCAACTAATTGATTATGTGTAATAGTGGTAGCAATAAAAATAAGTATTTTAAGATTGATTTTTTCTTCTTTTGGAAAGTACATATTTATAAATGTATGTACAATTATGTAAAATAAAAACACGGCCCATACTTAACAATTAAATGATACATCGAATTAATCCTATTAAGATTATTATTAGGTTATTAATTTTAAAAATAATAATGAACGTAACATATAAACGTTGACAAATACTATAAGCCTCTTAAAATACTATTTTCTGTTATTGAGCATGGCATATCAATAACAATTTGATTTATTTTCATGGCATTTGTCTTTCACTTGTAGAATCACTTAAATTATAGTTTGAAAAAATGGCATATCAAATGTCATTTATTTTAAAAATTTGATACCGTCGGAAGCTTTTCTTACAGAATAAAATATAAAATGTAAGAAATAAGCAAAATCAGCATGGAAAATTAGAAATTTTCACGTTATTAATAAAGTAAGTGATAACAAACCATACTATATGCCAATACGTAATAAATTAACTAGAGTTAGTTTAAGAGGAGCGCAGAAGCATAATGATATAACCGGTTACACATTTTACATATTATAGTTTAATTTGGCATTAAATCTTGTCATCCTTGAGTAACATTTCATTTTATATCCATTTTTAATCGGCTGTTGTTTTATAAATTCTTTAAAGACATATTCATTATGAAATAAGTAGGTAAATTTCCAAAATAATTATGTATTTAAATTATTATTTACAATAATTATAATATTTAATGAACATTGTATAGATATTATTAGTAAATATTGTGAAAAATAATATAGTTTTTATCAAATTCTAAACTAAAACTAAATTTATTATAAGTTCTGTATAAAATCTATGTTATCTAGTGTCCATAAAATGGATCTAAATGGGCGTCAAAACAAATTGCATTCGATGTAATTAAACAAGATATAATGCGGAAGTATAATATACGATCATTTTATTGGCATATCTGTTAGATTAAAATCTGTTTGAATTAAAAATAAAAAAATTAATTGCGGCCGTATCCCATATATTTGTCTATATATCTATCAAAATGTTTATATAGCAAGGTGAAAATTTTAATCATTTTGTTATTCCATAAACATATACACACATATATTTATGCGAGAAATGCACACCAAATCTACATCAATATCACATAAATATAAAATTTGTTATACTTCATGCGTTAGTAGCAAAAGATTTTACTGTGTACATATGTATATTACATTTGACTAATAATTTAAATTTTTGTTATTTAATTAATTTATTCCAACTCATTAATATGTAATTTAATTTTATATCTTAAAATTATATCTTTGATATTTATGCTAAATTTTCAATTTTACTCTACATTATTTTAATCAATTTGATTTGTTGTTTGAACATTAAAAATTAAAATATATTGGCGTAAATAATGACTATATTGGCGTAAGATATTAATGTTTATTAAAACATTTATAAAATAGGTATTGGTTTATGTTTTCTATGTTCTGCAATTTCATTATCGTTTGCGTAAAATACACACTTTAATAAAACATATGCAATTGAAAATATTGATCTATAATTTATTACATTTTAAAGATATTTGTAAACTAAAGTACATACATATATACAAAAAAGAATTTATATGTGGAGCCAACTTAAATCGTATCTGATGAACACTAATCTATTTACATACTACCTATACACAAAATGTTAAGCCTGGCTGATCATTATATCGTTTTAACCGATAAATTTCATTAAAATTAATAATTGCGCGTTCTTTTAACTTTTATTACTTTTTTTAGGTGATTTAAATTGTCGTAGGTATTTTACCAAATATAATAGAAACAGGATATAGAATATTATGAAAAACCATAGGAATACCGGAGAGTCTGACTGGCAGAATTTGTAGTAGAATTCTAAGACGAATTTTTAATATGTTATGTAGATACATTTTATATTAATACAGTGTCATGTTTAATTTTGTCTTCGTTATTAGTGCAAAATTAGAAATTGAAGCTTCTCAACGACAGTAATGATAGTTCAGAGTAGATTTTAGCATTTGTTTTGCACTGTATTTAAAAATTCATATAAAATGCAGATATTTTTACAAATATTTGGAAATGTGCTAAAAAGGGAAATAACAGGAAGGAGAAAATACGATTACATATTAAATACTAACCAAAAAGTTTATAAGACGGCATGAATAAAAATTAATTCAATTCACATAACATTTGAAAATTTTGAATTTCTATCTATACATCTAGTTATATATTAAAATATCAGTTGAAAATTTCAAGTAAAATTGATATTAAAAAAAAAAACATTTTATATAGGAAGTAGGAAGTATCAGTTTTAATTTTATTGGTGTAAATATGTATGTTGGTTACACATATTTACTTATTGATTTGAATTTTTATTTACAATTAAGTATAATTCAATAAAGTAATTTAGTTGAATAATCCAATCAGTGCAGTACAAGGTTTTACATTATATAATTGTGCGAATGCAAATTAAATGCATGAAACAGAAATCATAATTTAATAAAAATTTTACTTGTCTACTTAAAATTATTAAATTTAGGTTAATTATAATCTCATATTATGTAATTTGTGTATGCAAACATAAATTGTTATTAAAGGTATTAAATTTTAATAAACATCAAAATCTTGTCATATAAAATGTCAATTTAATCAATTATTAATTAATTTAACTTTATTATTGATTTTTATAATGATCTACATAGCATTAATATTTTGCAAGTATAGGATTAGTAAATATAAGCTTGCTACCTAAATTTTCCAATTAAAATTTGATTTTTATTATATTCATATTGTGATTTTTGACTTTATTCAAATAATATTTTGATTTTTGAATTCTAGTCGTCTTAATAACTTTATTTAATTTAAGGATATAGCCTATTAGAAAGTATTTGATTAGATTGATTTGTTGGTAGAGTTTACACTGTTATAAAGATTAATTTTCTTATACAAAAAATTCGTGTGAAAAATAACTTATAATGACAAATTATAAGACGCACAAATTACAATCTTGATTGATATGATTAAAATGTTCTTAAATATTAAAGCTAAATTTGTTATTTTATGTTTATTTAAATTAATATTGTAAATAATAATTCATAATCAATTTTAAAGACTTAATTGAAATTGAAAAAAATGTGTACCTACATGTAACTCTACAGCTTTTTGGAGGTGGGTTTTCAATATTGAATCAATAAATTAAAATTTTCTATAATATTTTAAACTTGCAATCCTACTTATATTTTGCATTTTAATTCAAATCAATATTTCATATTAATTATATTGTCTAGTCAATTCAAATAGGTGAAAGGAAAAATTGATATGCGTACGCTTACAGAACTATATTTTCCATTTAAAAAACCTTTTGTAAATAACAAATTTTTTAGAAGTAAGTAAAGAAAATATTTTCATACAAGAGTCACATAGATAATGTTGGTAAAGACCGGGTGTTAATGTAGAAAAATTTCTTCAGTTATGAACTCAGCTCTAGATTTATGATCGAATAATTGCCGGGTGAAAAATTTGCCTTATTAATTTCTGCTTTGCTCTTCCATTTTGCAGTTGTTGTATGAAAAGTTGTTTTTCTTCTTTCATTGATTTCAAAAGAAAATTTAAATTTTCCTCATGTAAGCTTTCTTAAATTTGTTAAAAATTTTATCTTCTAGATTGCGAAAGGTTATTATTTCTTACACTATTCCATTCTATTTTACATTGGAGCTTTGTTTATTGTTTTCAGAGAAGAGAAGTCTTTCTCAGAGAAGTTCTAATAAGCCTGTGCTCCAATTTGACTGGTGAACCTAAAAAAAAAATTGCAATTTTAACAGAGAGTTTCAAAAATTATTTATTTAAAAATGATTAAATTTAAAAGTGATAATATTTGCCTAATCCAAATTTCTTGTAATCTGCAGTATAATTTTTAGTTATGTTGAATGTACCTATTGCATTACATAATAATTATGTTGTAATACTTGCCTTCCCATTCCCAAAACACAAAACATTACACGCAAAAAAAATTTTTTTATAACGAAATTTTAAAGTTTATTTCAAAATTTCCTATTGTAAATTGAACTGAATAATAAATTAAATAGCTAATTATTATTTATTAAAAATATTTCGAATTTGATTAAGCATAACATTAGTTTCAAACACTATAATTTTCAATTATTTAAAATTTGCAATGTCGGAATCGTCATAATTCAAAAATAATAATTACAATTTTTTTTTTCTTTTTAAATTTCCAAATTTTCGGGCAATTGAATATTGAAATGTAGTAGAATTGTATTTTAAATCGCATTGTAAGAAAATAAAAAAAAAGACCTAAAACTGCTGGATTGAAGCTGCCTGAAATGCAAACTAATTTGCAATTAACTTTACTGAACAATTAAAATTGTATTGGCGAATATGCCAACTTGACGTTGAGGCCTGAAATTCGCTGCGACGGCATGAAAATTAAAAGAATCTTAAATCATTGATAATATTTTATAATTTATATTAAAATTAAGAACTAGAATCAGAAGACAGTTTTTAGGTTTAAGGTCGAATATGTGATATTTTAATTGTAAAAAAAAATTCACATTAAAATCGAGTTTCAATGACACCAAAAATGCAGAATTAATGTAGTACTGCATTGTATCTGTGATTCATATGGTAGAATAAAAAATTTATACGTGATGAAAAAATCGCGATTACAATGCAGTCGTTTTACAACTTAGCTTTTACTTTGGTATTAATCCTCTAGTTCAACTATAGTAAACCTTTTTTCACTATATTTTGGATGACACGGTTTTACTGCTTTTTGAATGTAAAGATTACCCTTATTTGTTTGAAAATTTTCTTTTCTTCTGCATATGTAGAGTTTTTTTTTCGATTATAATATGTTTTTCATTAATTATTTTATTTTCAAAGCAATAAACAAATTCCCACGTTGCCGATAAAATTTATTCGGTTTTATTTTCTTCTGTTTCCAATTTCATATATAGTTTCCAAATTGTTCATGTGTTTCTTGGTGATTTCAATAAATTCAATAAAATTTCTCAACTTTTTCTATATAAAAAATTAAAAATTAATAAAAAAAATTTTTTTTTTAATTGTACATTGAAAATTATAAAGTAGCAATTTTAAATTACCACCAACGAACAATAATTCGAATGAAGTCAGATCCAATTAAAACTAAAATATTTTTTTTATTCTTATTAGCGAGTTTAAGTAAACATTGTAAGTGTGAGTTTTTTTTTTTTTATATTTTTCTCAATTATTAGCAGAATAATTGATTGCATTTGAAATGAAATTATTTATCGGAAATTAACAATATAATAAATGTTTTTCAATCGAGTGGAAATTTTAAAATTTTGTAATACTTTCGTTTTTTAAGAAGTTATTCTTCTTAACGAAATGCCAAATCATGTCCAAATGTACACAACAAAAATAACAATATAATGATAGTAAAATCGAAATAATTTAAAAGTTTTAGTTGTTTCCTTAATTTAATTGGTTTTTTTTTAATAAATTCTTTAGATACATCTTGCTTCATTTTAATATTTTAGGTATTTGTGGTTTTAAAATTGATCGCTTTCGTTTCCAAATTTTTTATTTCATATTTTTTTAATTAAATTTTGAAAATTCTACTTTAAAAATACTTGGACATTTTGAATTTATTTCTTTTTATCTATCTATTAGCTTTTAATTACAAGTAAAGTGATTAAATAGGTTCGAAAACCTTAATACATATATTAATGCTTTAATACTTATACATGTTCGTACACAAATATTTTTGCCTCCCTCTCTTGAATAAGTACATTTCAATAAGAACTATATTTAAATAAAGAATAACCTTCCCTGTTACAATTTATAGCAGTAGTTTTTAGGTTTAAACACGCGAAATATATGTTTTAATATTGTATTTTTTTTCTAAATTAATTTAATTAATGGGAGTTATTACAGACATTCTTAGGATATATTTATTTTCTATATACACACACAATTTTTCGCAATGTATTATGTAAATCGCTAATTAAAATTTTCTATGAATAAAATTGGTGTAGATTTGTGTGTGTAATGTTGTTTTGTATATATATTTTATATTTTTCATACATCTCTTTATCAAAAGTAATATATTGTCATTCATTTACCGATTTATACACAGAAATCAATTTCAGGAACTTCATAATTGATATAATTGTTGACTGACATAACAATAGCAATATTGAATACCTGTCACGCCTTTAATTTTTAAAACTACATACATATGTACATAACAGACACACGTATCATAAACGAATGTCTAAGTACTAAATCTGTACAAAATATAATTTACTTAAAATTAAATTTTTGCAAAAGTTAGTATTGAAACTCTAAGAATTTCAATTAATAATTTGCGACATATGAATGTATGTATTTATTGAAGTGTAATTTATGTGTAAAATGCCTTTAGACACGTACATGGGAACATATACACTACAAACAATTATGTTTATTCATTTAAAATATGTTATTGGAAAAAATGTCTTCCGCGTCTGCATTAAATTGATTTTTTTTAATTTATTCACTTTTGTCCATAGCACAATCACCATATCCACATTTTACTAGTATATATATGTGTAATAACAAACTTATATAAAATAGTTTCAGTTTTCCTTGATTGAACTCGATTGTAATGTAGAATTTTCTGTAATTAAATAATCTCTAATTAAATCTTTAATTATTTAGAAGTAATTTGATATATCTTGTATAATATGTGTGCTTATAAATTAAAATGATGTATGTATTAGAATTTTTATTTGAAATTTTTTTAATTTACACATTCGTTTGTACAAATTAAATAATTTTAATAATTATAAGAATGCGGTTTGCTCAAGTATATTGCTTATGAAATGGGTGTGTACATCTATTATAAATATCAATATCGTCAATTTCTATTTATGCCTGCCTTAACGTATTCCTGTTTCACGCTTTAACTATTTTGAAATATACTGATTATAAAGTGGTGTGTTTGTTAAATATGGCATTCTTTCTTTACGAAATGGTATAATTAGTAAAAGGCTTCCGAAACGTTATTAATACAAAGCTTTATAGTAATAAATAGTATACAAAGCCTACTTTAAGTAATAAATCGTCAGATGCCACTCTATTTAATTAAATCAGTTTGAAAGTTGCTGTAGTGAAGAGAGGGATGTCTACATATATGCATACAAACAGAATCAGAGCATAAACAATACAATTAATATTGGCTTTTGTTAACATATAATTAGACAAATTTAATACCGTTATTTTGATTCCTCTGACAGAAAATTTGAAAACTATGTAATTAAAGCGGTACAAAGCTTGAATAGCATTTGCAACGAAACAGTTTTAAAAATTTCATAATTACTTACATAAAATAAGTGAGATAACATTTTTCGGGAACTCAATATAGTATACACATAAAATCCATTAAGATTTTTCTTAAATTATACGTTCACCACATAAAAATTACAATACTTGTCCATTAAAAGAAATATTTTTCAACAATTTACACACATTTTTTTTGTTAATTTTCTCAAATTTTCACATTTGTAAATCTTCGATTAGATAACTTTCATGAAAAAAATTTGCTTTAAAAATAATATTTTGAACTTTAAATGATTTGCATAAAAATCTCATTAACTATTTGAATACAAATCTATATTTTTTTTATCAAAATATACCTTTAACCTTAAGGCGATTTTTGTTTGCAACTACACATTAACAAAACTCCTACGATCCTTTTATCATAAAAAGCAAAAATTTTTAAACTTATTTAAATTTGAATTGCTTATTAACTCAAAAGAAAAAAATGTATTCAAAATAAAAGATCACTCGAAGTAGTTATTAAAAAAACAAATGTTACATATGTTTGCACAATAAAAAGGTTTTGAGTATAAGAAGCATTTTGCATGTTTTCATTTTTTGTGCCACAATTCTCTTATGTCATTCTTAATAAACAATTATAATTTGACTTTACTTTCTTGTATTCATTTGCTTTATTGTAATATTCAATTCAACGCGCCTCTCCCCCTTATTAATCAGATCATGTCAAAAAATATATGACCTATAATTATCCAGTTTAAACCGGACATTTATCATTTCTCAGGGGGAAAAAGTTTATACACAAATAATTATAAATTTATTTGTTTAATGACTAAGGCGTAAGAAAAATATAAAACTTTAACAGAACACTATCAAAAACAAATTCCATTGTATTTAGTAATTTCGTAGGCAACTAAAAATTTGCGGAATTTTAAATAATTTTATGTTTAAGAATTTATTCATAATTTAAAATCGATAGTCTTTACGTTCTATAATGCATGAATACAGTATTTAAATTAAAATGAGAAATGAAAAATTAAAACTTTAAGTTGACTTCAGTTGACTTGATTTTTGTTTTCTAATTTAAATTGAACGTTAAAACTCTCTTAGTGAGACATGAAAGCGAGAAATTCAATCAAATATAATGTAAATTCTAGACTAATTTCCAATAAATGTAAAATGAATTCTGGTCTCTTTTAATATCTCCGGGACATCTTCGATATTTAGTAAGTAATATAGTGAAAAATAGCGTTTTATATACAAAAATCATAATTTTAATACGAAATTATTTTCATTAGTTCTAGATTATTTATTAAACGATAATGACGAGTGTAATTTGGCAGATGAGTACTGGGCCAAAATTAGAATTCTAAATCTTAATACATACTTTAAATTTTTCTCAAAATTTCCGCAATTATTTAGTACTCAATACACTTAACAGTAAAAAACATAAAACGGCAAATAATGTAATTAAAGTATTTGATTTTCTTCTGAAACTCTCATAAAATTTTGTTTTCATTCTTTACCACTTTTTCCCTTTTTAAATGGAAATGATATAACGGACGGAAAATTGCTTATACCCTTAGGATGGGACAAAAAAAAATTTTTTCCACATTTCTTTCAATAATGTCATGATTTTTACTTACCCACCTACTAAGAGATTCATTTTTATTTTGACATTTCACTTGTTATTTAAATAAGAAAAGTGAAATTACGGTCTATTTTTGATATGCAAAAGAAGCTGGGAGGTAAAAGTTTTTGTTCCCTTTTCAAATTGAACAGTAACTGTATTTAAAATTCTCATTGTCTTATTTCCCTAAAAAAAAATAATTGTAAGAAAAAAAAATGATAATATTGTGAATAGGAAATTTTTTCCACAGATTTATTTTATGTATTGTATGAATTTAAGAAAAAAAATTACGTTATGTGTGCTTACAAACAATTTTATATAAAACTGCGTGGTATAATTAAAAATATTTGTGAAAGAAAATTGAAGCGGAATAGGATTAAAGCTGCTAATTGTACAAGCTGTTCATAGAATGACTTAAAAAAAATTTTTAAGATGTTAAATGTTTATACTAAAGTGCTTTATAACAAATTATCGGAGGGATTAGGTTAACTTATTATGCAACGTGTCGTAAATAAAAATGACGTAAGAGTAATGACGCATTTCTTGGATTTTATTGTTTTAAATTTACAATACAATTTTCTAGACTATGAGGACAAAAATAAAGCATAGCAGAAAATTTCTAAAGTAGGTCTTGCAGTGAAGCTCGCAACAAGTGAGCCATAATATCGGTAGAAGAATACGGAAATTTTCTTAAATTTTTCTACGTAAATCAAGTATACATTTGACGTGTCTTTCAAAAGAAATCGCTCTTATGCTAGTTATGTACATTTATTTTAGAAGAAAAAAATTATTTAACGAGTAATAAGTGTTTTATTATGTAGTAATTTTTCAACAAAATTACCTTTCCAACTTATGTATACATACGCAAATAGATTATATAATACACGACGTATTTATTTTGCAAATCTTCGACAATGCGCCTACCATTTATTTACATTAATATACAAATTCTAATAGAAAAAAAAATTAACTTAATTTTGAAATAATTTTTAAAGAATTTTATCGCTAAAATTAAACAAAACTTAATTTATCGTCAGACGCACACGTTACATATCAATCGATTGAAACGAAAATTAATATTACTGTACATTTAATAACAGTAATTTAAAATAATTTCTAACCAGTCCAAACATATCATTTTAAAATAAAGTAATCAAATATAAGATTTAAAGAAAAAATAAAAAGAAATTCGCACAATTATTCAAATCAAAAATTTTATTTTACTTAATTCAATGCAACATTAAA